TCCCTACCCAGTGACTTAACTTTGCTTCCCTGAGAATACAGGGAGTAGACTGTTTCATCTTTTATCTTCACATTACAAATTTTCCTTTCTGCTCTCTTGCTGATCAGTATCTCCAATAGTTTCTGGACATCAGGGTTAATGAAAGAGTCCCTTCAACCTCTACTTGTGAGAGTGGGTGGTTCCCCAGTATGAGTCCTCTGGTGAGTGAAAGCATGATCTCTCTTGGATTTACTGTGTGGGGAGTGGGAGAGGCCCCAGACTCTGGCAGCCATCTGCCACCAGGAGAGAGATGTGGGAACAGGTGGGGAGAATATGGCCTGAGAATCCTGGGACAGGAGATGACAATGGGACAGGAGTTGAAAATGGGCCAGGAGAAGGCAGTGTGCCAGGAGATGACAATGAGCCAGGAGATGGCCTTGGCACAGGAGAAGGCACTCAATAGTGGGTGGAGAAGAGCTGTGTGGGTTCATGCCTAGTGAGAGTGTCATTGAGTCACACTGACGAGGAGTCAGGCTGAGGCCTGCAGAGATGGAAGGTGGTCTCTAGGATCAGGAGCATGAGATGGGAGAAAGAAAAGTTCATAAGGCTGAGATGAATGTCATTCTAGAGAAATCACAGACTCTGGTGATTGAGAGGCACTCAGGATTTAGTGTGACTCAACAGTTACACTGAACTGAGGAAGTCATTAGGTTTGGTAACAAATTAAAGGCCAGGAGCAATGGTGCTTGCTCAAAGAAGTCAAGGAAGCCAAAAGGAAGAAGGCAGTGGCCAAAGCATCCTCCATAGGCAGTGTATGTGATTGGTGCACTCTAGCTGACTCTGGTTTACACATCTCATCTGGGTCATCTCCTTTTAAGAGCTGGTGAAAGCTGTTGTCATCATGGCAATTCCCTAGGTGGCTCCAGAAATAGGAGGCTCAGGCTGCAGCCAGGATCAGATGGGGCCATGAGGTAGGGCTAGTGGGGAGGGGGTGGGCACCTGTGGCCCATGGCTCCTCGCTACCTACACCCTGAATTTCTAAAGCCCTTGATCTCCAAAACCCCAGAGCTTTAGTCAGATCCTACTCCAACTGAGGGCTTCTGCACTCCCCCATGAGAGCTTTGTGTTGTCAGATCTTATCACAGGCAGTGGGAAGGACACAGGAAGAAATAGAAAGTTACTCACATTTTTAGAAGTGAAAGCAGATCCTCATTGTCTTCCACTTTCTACCAGCAATCACTATAACCTGAAAATGGAGACTGGGTTATTTTGGACAAGGGAAGGGTGAGTGGTATGTCCATGTGGGGCAGACTGGGCGAGTAGATTCTGGAGGGCCAACACCAGTGTTTGAGCCATATGACAGATGACAGGTATAGCAAAGCACATGCAGGGGTAGCACTTTGTCATTTATTTATACTTCCACTAGCCCCCATTGTACTCCCTATGGGGAGAAATATTGGACCATATCAAAGAGGAATCAGTCTTAGGGGCACGAGAACTTGTTCACACTTTTGACTAGAAGACCTACTTCCATATCCAGATGAAGTATGTGTGTTGAAGGGTAGACAAATGGCAGTCAGTGTAGATAATATATCTGTCTCATCAGGAAGATGGGGCTGGTTCAAAAGGAAAGGAAATCAAATGGTCTTTCTCCCTTCTCCTCTCATGTGCCCTCCCACTACTTCTACAACTTGTTGCTAAGGTAGCCTGCTCTAGAATTGTTCCTCCCTGCAGGGAGTTGTAGGAGTTAATTAATGCCTCCTGGGCTGATACCTTCCTGCCTGGATCACTTGGCCCACCTTTGGGTCATGTATGCAGAATGGGAGAGGAGAGGCAAGAAAAAGGGAGAAGGAGGACATGAGAAAGAGGAATTTTAAAATACAAAAGGGACTAGACATCCCCACTTATTTGGATACATGTGTCAGGGATCCTTTTTCTGCAGAGAAATCTAAATAAAACTTGCTTTCTATGCTTCCCTCAGAATTTCTTGGGTGTTCAGACTTAACCCCTAGGGGAACAGAACTTGGCCCTGATTGATTCTCATCATTGGCAGGATCACAGACAACATGGCTCCAATAGTGCCCACACCAACCTACAGGACATCACCCACCCCGACCCACCACAGCTTCATTCTGGGCACCTGAGAAGTATCTCTAGTATGGTTTCTTTCCCAGGATCCTCCTTCTTAGGTTTCTGCAAGTTACATCTGGGACATGGCTCTGGTCTCTTGGGGACACAGGACAGCAAGTCACCTCTGGAATGGAAGGGCAGAGCCTTACCTTTCAGAATGCCACTCTTCTTCCTCTGTCCCTTTTTCACCTTCAGATGCTGACCAACAAGAAAAGGGAGGTGTCTAGAGCCTAGTTTCTCTGCTTTCTTAGGCCAGCTACAAACATTCTATGTTTCTGAA